TATGTGGAGGCCTGAAATGTATTTAAAAAGGCATGCCGAAACACAGAGGTTTGAAAAGACAGAAGCAGTGTAGTTCTGCCTCCTTGCATTTACTGAAACTTCAGGATGAGCAAAAGGAGGAAGCAGTAGCCAAGATGCCAGACCAAAGTTCTTCTGAAAAGAGTACAACATATCTAAGTCCAGATGTCGGAACCAGCCACACAGATGAGGTTTACTGCACATTTTACAAGTATGCAGAAATACAAGGCTCCTTCTCTCTGTGACTTCCCACTTTGGTATAAAGAGGGCAGATTTGCAGATGTAGCTGCCATTGACAGAAAATGCAAGGTCAAGTTTACCTACAAGTAGAAGAGGCAAATGAAGTTAAAGAAGCTTGAATAAAGAGGGAACTTAGTGGAGAAGTACCTAAAGTAAACATTTCTTGTCCAAGTGAAACACTTCAGGCTTAGAAATATTCATGGCAGCAGTTTGGAAACAAACCTTTGTATTTCAAAACACAAAAGGCAAAAATCACTGAAAGGTTGTACTGCTGAGTATTAGGGACACAGAGGTGTCACTGTTAGAGGCATCATCATGGCTAGGCTTCGCGAATGAAGATTTGGGAAGGGCTCTACCCACATTTGTTACAAGCACGCTGGTGGCTAATGAGGCAAATACGAGATAGACATGTCCGATTGCAAAAGGCACAGCAGAAAGACTCCTTAGGTGGTATATTCTGCAAGGCACGATTCTTTCTGCGTTATCTTTTCTCCTCAAGAGTGATCCTGCGTGCTTTCTCAAAGAAAGCAACAGCGTTAAAGATAGTGTGTCTCCAGACCTCTCGATTGGAGGCCAGAGTAGACCAGTTATGTTGATCAATATGGCCAAGGCTGAGACGTTGTTTCAGAGAGTCCTTGTATCTCCTCTTTGGGGCTCCTCTCTTGCAGCAGCTGGTGGCAAGTTCACCATAAAGCAGGATCTTAGGGAGGCGGTGGTCCTTCATCCTTGAGACGTGCCCTGCCCATCGCAGCTGTGTTCTCAGCAACATGGCCCCAGTACTTGTGATATAGAGGCATAGGTGAGAAACATAAATACAGGTTCAAAATAGAAATTAGAATTTAATTTGGCAGTGAGAAGGGAACATACAGGGTAGGTCTTCCCTAGTACTTCACGGCAGAAAATGAAAGGAAGCTGGAATTGTGACTGCCAGTTACCTACATAACCAGATACCTTTGGATTTACTGTAAGGGTGGTGAGGCACTGGCAAAGGTTGCCCAGAGAAGCTGTGGATGCTCCATCCCTGAAAGTGTTCAAGGACAGGGTGGATGAAGCTCTGAGTATCCTGGTCCAGTGGAAGGTGTCCCTGTCCATGGCAGAGGGGTTGGAACTAGATGATCTTGAAGGTCCTTTCCAACCCAAACCATTGCGTGATTCTATGGTCAAACAATCCAGTGATTCATATTGAGCCATGAAAAAAGTGACCAACATATGGAAAGGATATTTACTGTCTGAACAACAGGGTTTTAAATTCTCCCACCAAAATGAAGCAGAATAAAAATAGCAAAGGTAACTACATATATCAAAAGCTTTTGAAGAACATCAGAGGCTGTATCATCAGCCAAAGTGGCTGAGAAAGGAAAGGTAAATGAAGGAAAGCGGTCAGTATCAACCCTAAAGAGAGTTTTTAAAGGAGGAAAAGTAGGAGATCTTAGCTGGAAAAGCAAATACAAAAGGCAGAATGAACTGACAGCAAATAGTAATATTGGAAATAAAAGATAATGACTGCAAGCATGAAATGCAGACATAAAAAAGCTGCTGCAAAGTCATTTTTGAAGAGCATATGGTACTGGACATTTTAATTTTTTTTATTCTTTTCTGACTCTCACACTTGCATATGTGCTCTGGTCTTCCCAATGCTCAGATTTGAGGCTAAGGTTAGGCTAGACTGCCTTCTTAAGGTTTGGCTTTTTTTTTCTATATAAATTTGAGAACTTGGTCCCACTCATGTTTAATTGGTATCAAAACTTTCTTCATGGCTTCAGCAGTAAAGCATCAGTTCAGAACAAAGATTGGTGCAGGTTTACACCATCCTTCCCCTTCACAAAAAGTGTATCCCACCTCTTTAGAAAACTCTGTATTTCCCTAATGGTCAGATTTGCAGACGTGCCATAGTTGAGGCAAGTCAGATTTTAAATGTCTGTTTTCCTCAGCTTGATTACTTTGAAAATAGGTGCAACAGGTTTTTGTTGGCAGGAAGTTACCCAGGAAAGGGGACACACCTCAGAGAGAAACAAGTATGACCAAAAAAGCTATCACACTGATGTTATACATCTGTTACTTTCTACAATTTCACATGATGTTTATGTGGATCCTTCTGATCAACTTCACTCACATTTTCCATCAGCGTTTGCAAGCCAGCATCCTTTGGAAGAACACACCTGTATTGGCCACTGAATTCTGAAAAAACATCTCAACAGCACAGAGATTTACCAGTTTGATGGGAGTAAATTAATGGTACTGTAATATTTCTAGAGGGAAACAAATCTATTAAACAGTGAGCATCCAGAGATACCTCTTCAATTTGCAGCCTTAACTACACACCAGACAAATGGCCACTTTGCTGAACTACAGTGTTTTCCCCTACACTGATCTAATACAAGACCAGTTTGGTCTTAAGTGTGTTGCAAACAAACTTTGCTTAAGTTTGTTGGCAAATAGCAACCCCTGGGAGAAGCCTGCCCTTCTGCGATCAACAATAAATGCAGGGAGATTTGATTTCTATATCTGACAAACAGATAAAGTGGCTAAATTGATTTTGGTGAGTAATTTCCAATGCTTTGCAGGGCAGAAAAAAATCTTTTCCAAAACTAGTTACTTACTGACAAGCTTGAGAGAGTGAAACAAGAAGAGTGACAGAGATGAAAAGGTGTTTACTTCATCAGAGAAGTCACATTGCTAAATGCTAACCACAGTGGCCTTAGACAGAAACCGCACATGTACAGATCTGGAGAATGTCACAATCTGGTATTGCTAAGAAGCGTCAGCTCTGCTTTTGCAAAAGCTTGAAGCATTAGTCGATTCAGTGCACATTCATAATTAGAATTCTAAGAAAGCAGCTCTGGAGTGGCTTTATTATGTAAACCCATACAAAGCAGCAGCTATAAATGCAGATGAGAACTTGGAGGGTTTTCAGGTATTGTAGCAAAAGGAAATGGCTCTTTGGAGGTGGGTCTGTAGAAGAAAGCCACGTATGTCTGTGGACTTCATGCCTCCAAGCAACCTGAAATTTGTCTGCAATTTAAGCACCATCTATTAGCACATAACTTCCTTTTCCCTTTAAACCAGTTCCTTATTGTCCTGCCGTTCTGCTCTGGTAACAAATGCCATATCCAAATTGTGAGAGGGTGAAAGGTGGAAAACCATCTTAAGAGATGTGGAAGGAATAAAAGCAAGTGATGTTTCCCCTGGTGGGGGCTGGTGGTCAGAGAAGCAGTAGGGAAACATGGCCCAGTAAGCTGTCTCAGAAGCAGCCAGGAGCAGATTTTAGGAGGAGAATAGCCCCTTTTCTTACACAATGATGTCACCCTCAGCAGGACTACCCACCTTCTGGCATGGCTGTGGAAAACATATGGCTTAATAGTCTCACTTTCATATGTCAGGGTGTGATTCCATCCTGCCTTCTTCATCAGCAAAGCTGGTTTAAGGTGTTGTCTATTCTCCCACTAACCACTTGTTTTTAGTGCTGTGTCACAACTTACCACTGCTCCAGTGGTGCTGATGAAGATGTTTAGAAAGTCATATTGTGTACTGGATCACTGAAGAACAGTTAAAAAAGAAGGTCAAGAAAAAAGATCAGTTCACTGATCTAGTTTATAGGCCCACAGAGAGATACATCACCACAACTGAAGGGATTAAACTCAGGCACTGTGACGGGAGTCTTTTAAATTGACTTTGCTGATGGAGAAAATTTAAGAGGGAAATATATATGCACCCCAAGACTGGGGAGGAAGGGAGGAGCTGTACCTGGCATACTCTACCATTTAAAACAGTTATTCTATTTTTCACCTCTCCCCAACCCTCCACCCACACAGCCCCATGTGAACAACCTGCTGAACTCCTGCTCACTCTTTGTGGTTCTTGCTTCAGCTTCAGTAAAAGAGGAACATGTTTTTACTTTCTTAACACATTAATGACAAGATCTGCAGCTGAAAAACAAAGCATTAACATACAGCATCTCTGGTCGTTTGGGATACCATTAGAGGCACATATCTCTAACTCTTTGGTTAAGTAGTGCAGTAAGTATATCTATCACATGCCAGAGTCCCTCCTTTCAATAAAATGGGAGTGACACCATCTTGTAGAAGGGACCTTTATTGGGGAAGCAGGTTATCAAACAGCTGTGCTCTGACTGAAGTCATGGAAGTATCCTCAAAAACAAACCTAAATGAAAACTTCTGTCCTAGGCAGGAGAAAACTCTTCTTGGAGCTTGTGAGTTCATCCAGTCCCTGAGATGAGATTACAACTCTATGTGGCATGGTTACAGACACCACATTCCTGATCTGACATACTAATAATAATGGCCCAGAGCTCTTTACCTCCAAGAGGTACCTCTGACATTTACATAGAAGCACAATGCTAAGCAACAGACATTTTTCAGTTCATTATATCCCCTTCCAAACCTTGTTTCCTCTATCCCTATTCTCTTGCTGCTCACTATGTTCTGTTCAGCTTTAAATTCAGAAAAGCTGGCATCCAACACCATTATACAAAATGGCCAACAGGAATACAAGCCATCCCTCAAAAGTATCTTTGTCTCAAAACTGAGATTTGGAATGTGAGTTTCCTGCCTTGGGCCTACCCAGACTTCTATAATGTGCTGGCAGAAAACATCCTGTTACCTTCCTTTGAGAAGTATGATAACTTTTTTTTTCCCCTGCAGAAAACAATCGTTTTCACATAATTTGTTACACCTTAGGTTCTTCAGCAAGTACAATGCCTGCAATTTTAGGCTTGTCTGCCCTGGCCTCACAGCTCCCTAGTTCAACAATTGCTAAGGAGCTTTTATTAACATCTCAAATACCTCCTTTTCCTTCTCCCTTTCTCAGAGGGGGTAAGAAATGCTTCAGATTCCTGAGTTTAGAAGAGCTTGGGGGCATTCTTCTTAGCAGAGGATAAGCTGAAAGGAGAACAGCATCCCTCCCCAGAGCCTCTGTCACCCTGCACCTGTCAGGCTTATGACTTGCCAGGTTTGGGTGAGGTACTGATAAGGGAAACATACTTTAAAGAGACTGACAAATCCATCTAAATGCTGTTTAATTCATCTTGATAAGGAAGGGTTGTGGAGAGCTTTATGCCACCTTTACTTCTCTTTTCCCTCTGTAGGTCTCAGGCTGGGCCATGTTTTCACAAAACCAAGATTTCAGTAGCAGAATGACTGTACTATTTGAAAAACAGGACTAAGTTCAGAGAATACATAAAAGTGATAGCATTTAACTACTTCACATTTTTTATTAATTGTTTTAATTGCTTTTCAGCATCAGCCACCTTTAACAGACACCCAAACAAAAGGCATCTAAATGGATGTTCACTTCCCTCTTCCTCTCCCAGTAGGAATTTAGTCTCCCATGTTTTCCCTCCTCCTAGCAAAAAACCATGAGAGCCCCCCTACATTCAGCTTGCTGCCTTTCCTGAGGTTACTGTGTGAGCTTTTTCTCCACTAATGGTGCCTCTCAGCTTACCCCATGTTCGCTGTTTGTTTTTGGGCTCAGCCTGCAATAGTAATCAAGGCCAAATATTTGCTCAAATGAAGTGCCTCTGTGGTTCTCATTCCAGGAAGCTGGCTGAGGACAAAGTGAAACTAGCTTGAAATACTCTAGTATGCCCAAGAGATGCTAGGAGCAAGGGATTTTTCCAGTGCTGTAGAAAGTCATCCAGATTCTCATTGTAGCTTTGTTGTGGGAACTGCAGGGGAACTAACTCATTTATAGCCTGCCCCAGTGAAAGACACCACTTTTGTCTGCCAGAAACCAAAGTCAGTCCAGTCAAAGCCAAACTTTAGGACTGTTCTGTTGGGCCACAACCAGAAAGAAGACCCAGTGTGAAGTCACACAAGCATTCATTCTCCCTGTTCTGCAAGGCTGAAGCCCACATTTTTCTGATAAGAGGAGGCTATATCCTTTGTGCTTGCAAGTCAGTGGCAGGTCTTATAAACACACCCACAGATTCTCAGCCTAACATATTGCAAGCTCTGTGCATCTGGAGCCAGTGCATGCTTTGCTCAACAACCCCCCTTTCATTTCTGCCAAGATTCCCTCCCACATTTGGGACTTTTTTCCTGCTCCCTTGAGAGCCTCCTCAATTCTCCCAGCTCCTCCAGCCTCCCACTGTCAGAGTGGACTGTTCTGGACAGCTTTCCTGGTCTGCTCTGCCTTTGGGAACATATGGACCACTGCAGGAAGCTGAGCACAAAGATCTGTGCATTACCCTTATTTTCAGCCCTGTGTTTGAGTCAGGGGGATGGACCAGAAGACTGAACTGAGAGTGCTGACATAGAAAGCAGAGAATCTCCAAAACCTACTGGGGCATTAGCTTTGTAGGATGTGAGAAATTACCAACAGAGATACATGACGTGCCATCACTGTGGGAAGCCATCTTTTAGATGAGATGCAGACAAGCTCCATCTAACACAGTCACCTTCTTTCCCATTTATCAGACCATCGTTTCCTGGGAATATTCTGGAACAAGGAAAGCAATTCACTGGGCATCCTGTGTGTTTTCATAACACACCACCAATTCCCGTCAAAAATCAATAGCTCACTGAGGAGTAGCAGACTACTGAGCTGCCCAGGCTAGCACCTGCTCTGCAATATTTCTCAGCTACCAAAAGACAGGAAAGCATTAGAGGAATCAAACCCACAGCACAGAGGTGCTCAGGGACTTAAGGACTCCTGAAATTCCTCCATGTGAGGTAGCAACTTGTTTTAGTCCAGGGTGTAAGGAGTTCCTGCACGCGGTGCTGCCTTCTTGGACTGGTTCAAGGACAAAAAAAAGAAGTTAAAAGATTTTCCATGGAATAGAATATTTGGACTTTGAGTTACAAACACAAGCATGACACAGATCATAAAACATGAAATAAGGTAGCTCTGCTCTCTTCTACACAGTGGGGCAAAGCATTTAACCTGTTGTAAATCCTGTCCACTCCCTCCTTGTCTTTTCTGTTTATACATGGAATTAAAGCATCCTTAAGCCTCTTACTACTCTACCACTCTCCTGATTACAGCCGCATCTAACACTGAACTTGAAGCACACACCTATACGTAAGTTTGCGGCTAATTGCGAGAGAGTGCAGAGGCCTATAATTCTTTGACTCTTTATAGAGGAATGTACATGTATAAAAGCCTTTTGAATTTTCATAAGCCACCCCTTAGATGTGGGATAGCAAAATACAAAAAGATGAAAACAAGATGCTCACCCGATGATTCAGCTTTCCTGCAAAGTTTCTCCTACCAGCCATCATAACCCCAAAAATAATCATCCCAGCCCCTTTTCTCCTGTGGGCTACAAACACATCAGCAATGAGGATAATAATTTAAGTTTTTTTGTTCCTACTAGGAAGTCATGAGAAAAAACTTTGCATTACATGGAAAAAAAAGAGTCATATGCAGAAAAGGAAGGTATGCATATGTTTCGTTTTGTTGGCTTTCGGTTTTTGGAGATTTTTTTTTTGGTTGTTGTTGTTGTTGTTTAAGGAATGCTAAATCTTTGCTAGGGGACATACCAGCTGTCTCCAAGCTCTTTTTATGATGATCTCTCTTGTACCTTAATTGAGAAAGCAGGGCGTGGAAGTTTCAACAAAGGCTGCCCTTTGTAGTGTGTTAATTAGGCACAGGAGTTAACAAAACCCCTCAGTTATAAACAATTACCTTTCCCCAGGCTTACCTTCATTTTCATGCTATTGCATTTTTACTAATTTTCTGTTAGATTTCCAAAGTGGACAAGACTAATTTCTAAAATTAGTCTCATAATTAGCAAAGAAAAAAAAAACAAGCAGGAAAATATGTAAAGCAGGAGGAAAAAAAAAAGGTATAATTAGAAACACTTAAAGATGCCTTTTTTTGTGCTTCTTCAGGATATAGGAGACCAAGGTCTTTTAAGTTCACTGTAAAGTCCCCTTTGAAACTAAAAATCTAGATTATGGTCCCTTGGAATTGACTCCTGGGTGTAAATGCCTGGGGATGGGAAAGAATGTGGTTAGGGTTTGTGTGCCCTGAAATGATTGCTACCCTCACCCTCACAGGAGGAGAAAACAGAGGAAAGCAAGAGGCTGTAATTCCTCCAGACCCTCCCCATCCATTTCATTTGCAAAACAAAGTTTGCTTTAAAACGATGGCCCTGCTGGGCCCATAGGACATCTTGCCTGCTGGTATCCTGGCTGGCTGCTCAGCATGTGCTCAGACTCTGAGACACACAACAGCTGGGAAGGGAGCGGCCTCTGCCCTCCTCCCTGCCAACGTTTGGTCCTGATGGCAGTGACCTCACCTCTTGGCACTGAGCTGTCCCTGGCACTGGCTTCCCTCCTCCTCCCTCTGCCTCCTGGCAAAGGAAAGGAGGAAACCCAGGGGCCTGGGGCAGCCCTTCTGCCTCAAAAAGAGGCAATCCCCATGATGGAAAACTGTACTGTAAGGATAACTGCCATCTTAATGCTAAACATTTTCCACCCTGCACTGCCTTTCACACTGCTGCTCTCTAACCTTGTTTTCCATTGAATTTCTGGAGAAAGGTCAAGCAAGGCCCTTGAACTCATGGTATTGGGAGAAGCACATTATGATTCAGTCTCCGGTCAGCGTCACACTTCTCTTGTCACCTGTGATTGTGCTGTTTGCCCAAGACCTTTACAATGTAGATGGCCTCAGATATTCAAGCATAAGTTGCCTTTGTGTCCAAGGAGCTGCCCAGAAAGCAGGGGAGCAACATCTCTGCAGTACTGGGGAGATAGTAGTTCAAGCTACATTCCCAATGGGGGCTGTGTCTCCCAGCCGGCCAGCACACCTGGAAAAGACTGTCTAGGGGAAAACTCATAATTCTTAGTGGCAGCTTCCCAAGCATAGCATTCTTATTGGGAAATTGCCTCTTCTCTCTGGAAGAGACTGTGGATAGCCTAGTAAAGATAGGCATTCCCCCCTTACTACTGCACGTCAAACCACAGTCCTCCTTTCTCACTGTGTCACAGTAGCACAGACTGATTCTGAAGCCAAGATCAGCTCCTGCTACTTTCCCCAAAGAGTTTTCAAGCTCCAACAGACCAGATAAACTCATTGTGAGAGAGCAATCAGAGATGAAGAAAGGCTGAGACTGCTCTCGATGCCTGCAGCAGGTCCCAGGCAGGAGACAGGTACAGGTACTACTGTGGCTGACCAGGCAAGTCAGGAAACTGAGGACCTCATGGCAGCACAGAGCTACTGCACGCAAGATGGAAAATTTTTAAACTGCTGTAGATGGGGCCCACAGGAAACTTTTGGGAAGCGTGTGCTGGGTCTAAGACAGGAACCAAGAGAGTCAGTGTTTGAAACATGCATTGACAATGAATTGCTTCATTACTTAGAGAAAAATTTAGAAGGGGGAAGGAGCAAAACTCAAACACATCAGGAAACAGGCAAATAATTGTCTGACGGATACACCACGTCTCCTGATTGCTGGTCTTGGACTTTGCTGCTGCTCAACCCACTCATCATGATAAGCTTCTCCTTCCAGGACACAGGAAGGTCTGCCCTACATTTAGGTACAGATCTCACACCCTGGAAAAGAAGCAAACAGAAACATCTTGCATAGGGCTGCTTGCTGTCTCTTCTAGTGTCTCATTTTGCCCTGCTTTACTGTTTTGCTTTCTCCTCCAACACCTTCCCTTGTCCATACACTTTCAATTGAAGAAGGAAAGTGCCACCCTTCAAACTGAAGAAAGTTTTGGCCCATGAGCTGCTGAAGAAAGACACAGATGTGTGGACTGCAGCCCTTCTCCTGCAGCACTTTGTAAAGCAAGTGAACAGTCCCAGGCAGGAGGAGGCTTTCTGCATTTTGAACAGGCCAAGGTGAGGAGTCGTGCAGGGCAGAGCACCCTGAGAAATTGGACCTTGTGACCTGGACTTGCACATCCATGAGCAGAGACATGGGAAATGCTGCCTTTCTGGAGCGAGAGTGGGGAGGGGAGTGCTGGAAGCTGCAGACAGGAAGAGCCTGACTTGGGAAAAGCGAAGCAGGTAACAATCATACAACTATTTATGGCTCTTTTTCCTTGCGACAACCGCAGCCTTATAAGGGCAAGAGCGCTTTACTCGGGGCAGAGCTGCGGAGGTGGAGCCTCCAGGGGCACTCCTGATGCTTGCTCCCAGGCTATCTGCCTGCACAAGCCGCTGACCTCCTTCCCGGGAAAAACCCTGGGAACCCTCGCTGAATCCAGCTGTTCAAATTTCAAATTACAAAACGCCTCGGCTCCCCTCCCCTTCTCCCCATACCTCCTACTAGCTGGAGCTGTGGTGAAGCAGAAATGTCTGCATTTGTAATGTTGTGGGTATCTGGGAGCAGTGGGTTGGAGAGCCCCCCGCAGCTGACATGGGAAACCTATTCCCATCTGGTTGTGATAGTACTGAGAACTGGAAGAAAAAAGAAAGGAAAAACAAACAACCCTCCCCTCGACCCCTCCCAGTGTTGCTTGTCGGCCACTAGCGAGTGTGTGAAAGGCTGCAGCTGGCAAATCTGGTGCACAAACTCTGTTGCAGATCCTTCTGCCTATGGTTGTGGTTCGGAGCCCCCCCTAACTCTGGCTGAGCTTCCAGTGTGTGTGTATTGGGTTCTTACACATTTCAACCCTGTGCAGTCCACCCAGCTGAACTATGCTGGAAATGGGTTGCAAATAAAACTAAACATAAACATGCTAAAAATGTCGCTGTCATCAGATAAGGTTGCTATGTACATAAAATTCCTGACACGAGTTCATTAGACCAAGGACATGAAAAGTTAAGCCACATGCATATGTTGGCTGGGATGGGGAGGAGGGTATGGTGAGCAGGGATTCAGCCTGAAGCTATATTTTTTTTGGCCTTCTAACAACCCATAGCCATCACCCTATGTGTGTGACTCAATTTCTTGCAATAGGAAGGGAAAAAGGAAAAAAAATAACAAATGTTACAGCACCCACTTCCTTCTGTGAACACAGGTGTGATTTGGGAGGGAGCAGGAGGCAGGGTCAGCCATGTCACTTGCGAGGTGTGGAAGGTTGGCTTTCCAGAGGACAAAGCACATGCTGACGAAGTCTTTACTCAGCAGTCTTTACCAAAAGCAGTCATTGTTAGCACTGCAGGAGGCACTTATCTCTGCATTATAAGAGAGGAAACAGGCACCAAGAGCTTCCTTTATGATAAACTTCTTGTAGTTGTGGCTATGTTCAACTTGCAGAAACATGGGATTGCCTGGGCTAGGTGCTCCCACATGGACTTACCAGTCCTTGGACACTCAGGTTTGCAGAAGTGCCTGAATGCAATGACCTTCCCTACCACATACTGAGTTGTTATAATTCTCAAGCCACATATTTTAAGAGAGGGGTAGGAGCTGTGAGAGGGATTTCAGGTGATCCCCCCCTCTCCCGAGCTTACCACAACAGCTACCCTTTGGCTGCTTCCAGGCTGGCTGTGGCTCAAGAAGGAGAAGCTGTGCACCCTTCACCCCAGGATGAGCAATGTGGGTTAGATTAACCTGCAAAGGTGGAACATCATGTCCTCCTCAGCCTCACAAAGGTCAGGGTTGGGGCTTCACGGCTATGTGAAATCAGCACAAGTCAGAGCAGCCTCTGAAGGAGGGCTGTTCTCCTTCCTCCTCTGATATTCATACTACCACTGCTAGTCTCGTATTACAGCCAGCTGATCCAGCTGGAAACAACCTTGAAACTAAAGAAAGGCAGATGTTTCCAGTTTGATAATTTCTTTGATCCATTTGACTACCTGGTTGCTACACAGGTGCTGAAAATATACAGTCGTGGGAAGCCAGACACAAGCTGCTCAGAAACTATGAGGGAATTGAAGCTCAGGAGAGGCCAGAAAGCCTTCTTTCCAGAAATATCACGAATGAGTTGAATTCAGATGTGTGGCTGGTCACAGGGGTTCTTTTAGCATCCCACGGGCAAGTGCTTGCAATCAGTATCTGAATTAAGGGATAAATTAAGAGATGTCTATTACCAAAAAAGTAGAATTACCAAAATCACAGCATCATTTAGCATAGGCAGTAATTTTGAGGTCTCCATATCAACATCCTGCTTGGAGCAGGGCCAGCATTAATGTTGGATCAAGGTGCTCAGGGCTAAATCTCTGAGGATGACAAATCCACCATCTCTGTTCTTGCCTCTTGTCCTTTCACTGAGCACCTCTGGCAATCTGGCTTTATCTTTCAAATAACCCCCATTTGGGTAGTAGAAGCCAGCAGTTACATAGTCCCCCTCACAAGCCTGCGTTCCCCTTTCCAAATCAACCCAGCTCCCTCAGCCCCTGCTCATGTGTCAGGTGGTCCAGCCCCCTTAGTCAGCTTCATGCTCCTCCCCAGAGTTGCTGCAGTTTGTTAGTGTCCCTCTTGCAAATGTAAAGGATCATCCTGAAGGTGGTCCATCTCACCTTCTGGAGGAGAGCAGGTGTCTCTGTCTACTTGTAGAAATTCGAGTCTTTGCGAGTGTGTTTGTTGGGGTGTGCATGCACAGAACCAGCATCTGTCAGTGCGTGTGCACAGTGCCACACAGGGAGGCTGTGCATCCGCCTCTTGGGTAAATAGTGATTCAGAAGTTTAGGGCATAAAAATGGGTGCAAATTCACTCAAGTCCCTGGAGCTGTGGTTCCTGTGAGCAGAGCTGTACTGCAGGCATGCTCTGTGAGTGCCATCTGTATTGATTTCCAGGGACGTCTGTGCACTGTCCTTCTCTTTCAGCAGCTCTGCACCTTAGCAGGCACAGATTCTCCTTCCCGTTGTGATTGGCAAAAATGTTTACAATCAGGTGTAAATCTGGTCAGGTAGCTTCTTGATTACTCACTTCTCAGCTATTACTCTGCTTCAGTAACCCTGAAGCTCAGGAGACAGGGTGTACCAGGCAGTAGCTAGGACTGGAAGACAACAGAAATCACGTTCTGCTCTGGTGAAGTTGCTGGAGGGCAGCGCATCACTGCTGTGATGTCATGAGCATGAGGCATGGCCTTCAGAGCATAAAAAAGAATACCCTTTACTCAGTGGGCCAACAGGTGATTTCAAAGGATGCAAGTAAAAAGGGAGACCTCAAAACTTTTGCCTGCTTGCTGTCCTGAGGATATGGTGGGTAAAATGATGTGTAACTGTGAATCAGCGGTGCCTTTTGCAATATCAGGATTGTGGCATGATGAGCAATCCCTCTGAAGTCTTTGTAAGCCTTGTTCCTGTGGTGCAGATGGACTGGGCAAGGTAGAGCCAACATTGGACCAGTGGCTGCCCCAAGCTACAGAGGCAGCAGCAGGAGAAAGCCCCAAGGTGCTGGTTCTCAGTTGGCCACATCCACTCCTCATTTTACTGCAAGAACTGCCATCAAGCCTCTGTCATAAGGAGTTTTGTTGCTGCAGCCCAGGACGCTTGGATGCCTGACACATAAGGATAAGGGGTGTTGGGTAAAGACCCAGTTTTACTCAGTTGGTGTTAAGCTCAAGGCTAGAGCTGTGGTCTTACAAAGAAGAGGAAGCAAAGCAATGTAATCTGCTATAGGGAACAGAGATGTAGATCTGGGTTAACATAGAGAGAGGTGCTCAAAGGTCTGACCCAGATCACAGTCAGGCAGTTTACTCCCCAGCTATAGAAAATTATTACAGAAATGAAATAAAACAAGGTTTTACTACAAGCCAAGGACAAGAATCACCAGCTGCTCATGTCACCCAGATCCTTTATTCTGAAACAAACAACTTAGGGACTGCCTTATGCGGCACAAGGAAAAGGCATTCAGGACAGGTTTGAAAGACAGAGTTTGTTCCAGCAGTCAACATCTCCTTTTGAGTCCCTTTCATAAATCCCAAAAGCAAGGCAGAGAGGTAAAATACAAACTCAGCCGATCTTCCCATCGGTTCCACCTCTGGACCTACTGGTCCCAGCTGGGATCCTATGGGATGTGTTGGGACAAGAAGTGGTGTGTGCACCAACACTGCTACTAGATATAGGTTGAAGGGCCCAAAATACATGTGCAGCCACCATAAGCCATGGGACCTTGTCCGCTGCCCAGGGCAGGGTGGCCAGTCTCATTTAGCTCGGCAGCCTGGCATACCTCACCAGGCTTATTTGGTCGTGTGCCCTTCTCCCTCCTCAGCCGTACCCCCAGGGCCAGGTTTTCCTGCTTCACCCCAACCACTTATTTTTCTTATTTTAAAACAAACAGAGTTGCGTGTGTTTTGATTTCTAGAAAAAGGTTAGAGGGAGGTCAGAGCTGACATCTGGGCTGGAGATAACATTCCCATCTAATTAGCAAACCCTGGATAATGAGGGCCTTCCTGTCCCATCCCCTTACTCTGGTGTGGGAGAGGGGAGACCCAGTGGAGGCTGGGGCAGAAATGAGGCAGGAGAATACCCTGTAAGGCAGCATTCCATTTTCTAGTGTCCCCAGCCCAAGCTCATGGGCTGCTGATAGGTGCCTGTGGGTGACCGCTGGAGGCTGCCCCTCCTTCATCTTTGCGTGAGGACACCATCTGCAGGCACCCAGCCTCTGCAGGCTCTTTTTCCAAGGCACTGGCCATGTCTTTCCAAAATGCCGATGGTGCTGCCAGTCCCCTCCAAACCTATTACCCGGGGAGAGCTCATTTGACCTTTCTGCAAAGCAGGGATTATGGATTTAAACACCCTGATGCTACAGGTCCTACCCGTGCTGCTGTGTGAGTGGCAAGAGAAGACACCAGCAGATATGATGTTGGTGGGAGACACAGATGAGATACACAGTGAGCTTCACAGAGCACAGCTGGGCTATCTGCTGCCCTCCCCTCAGCCTAGGGAGCTGTACATTGGCAGTTCTGTCCCTGCTCTCGGGAATCGGGTCATTTACCAGGACAGCACAGCCCGCCAGGCTGACATGATGCAGCTGGTTGTGTGCAGCAGTACTACAAAGAGGAAACAGCCACGGCTGGAGTCAGCTTTGGCTGGGATGCTGGGCTGGGGGGGCAAAGGGCCAGAAGTGCTGGGGAGACCCAGTTTGTGAGGGTTCCTGCAATTTCTAAACATATCCCCCTGCAGCAGGACACGGAGGTGCTGGAATAAAGCCTGACTCAGCTGGGAGAGTGGCTCCCTGACTGAATCACCTTGAGCTCTGTGCCTTCCCTGCAGCTCCCTTGCTGTGGGCTGACTCTGTGCTTGCAAAACCCCATGAGATCAGGGGTGCAGGCAAGCGAGGCGAGGGCTGAACTGCAGCCAGGCGCTCTCCAGGTGAGATTAAAACAGCAAGCACATCCGGTCCATGGAAAACCCCGGCTGACACCCCTCAGCAGAGCCAGTGACACACCAGGCTCTTGCCTTGTCAGCTCCATGGCAGGGGGATTTTCTGCCAGCAGCCTCAGATGCGTGTCCGCCCTCACCGGAAATGCCACAGCCTGCTGATTCCTTGGAGGGGACGTGACCATCATTCCTGACCTCAGAATAAAACCCCAGGGAGGGAAGGAAAAAAAGAAGGCAGGGAAACAAGGCTCGGCATGTAACACTGGCAGAGCTCAGCCATCATGACCCCGGCTGCAAGCTGGAGAAGATGAAGCTGGGAACCGTGCCCTTGGGTCAGTCATGTGCTGCTGGCCACCACGGGCTGGGCACAATGTCACAGGGAGGCAACAGCATTGCGGGAGAGCAGCAGAACAGGGAGATGACAGCAGCCTAAGGAGTTTGCTTGTGGACATGGCCACATGCTGCCAGCTTCCTTGCTGCAGGCTCCAGTGAGACCAGCAGTGACGGGTCCCTCATGTTCCCACATCCTTTCATCTCAAGGGTGCTGCCAGCTTCTGCCTTCTGTGCAATGCCAGACAGATTAAGAAAACCTTAAATGTGCTTCCTCCTGAGAGTTGTCAACAAACTGAGAACAGAACTTGAGCCCAAGGTCAGGGAAAGGGCTCAGACAGGAGCAAGGGGGTTGGTGTGCTGGGCAACTGCACAGTTTAGCATTAAAAATGCAGTGGCAGGCATGACAGCAACAACCTTTAATATTGTCTGAGCTCTATGAAAAGTTTCCATGCTTCTGCCAGGATCTTAGGGTGAAGCCTATGGGACCTGGCCCAGATGGGAAGTGGAAGGTGGATCTCCTCAGGTGGTAAGCTAAGCTGAAATAGCTAGGCTGAAGGATCAGCCCCTTGGGAGCAGACCTGGCGAGCAAGAAAGAAGAATGTGAGGGTTTTGTCTTGTAGCTTCCTGCCAAAAACTGGCATGGCTGTAAACACAAGTGCAGAACAATAAGGTCTCCTGTTCCAGCAGCTGCTAAAGCCGTCACCTGGGAAGCTTCCTGCAATCAGCCACTGGAAGGACAAAAAGGAGCTCCCACATGCTTTCCTGCAATTTGTCATATGTCTGATCTCTGCTCTGCTCAGTCTCTATCATCCTCCCTTCCCCCAGAGCCCTGTCTCACGCTCCAACAAGAGGATGTGGTTATGAAGGCCAACCTCTGGTGAGGAGGAGCAGTCTCATTGTTCAGCCTTGCTTCTCCAAGCAGCAAGAAGTGCTTTTCTTTATGACTTCTGAGTCACCCTATAGTTTCTCCACAGAAAGTATTCCCCCTGGGCTGGTTCTGCAGGCACTGGGTGAACTTCCCTGGTGCCTCAGAGAGTTCCATAGCACTTTGCAGATCCTCTCTGCCTGCCACGTGTTGCAGCTTCAGGGCTTACAGTGACCAGAGTTGGCACAATGCTGCCACCGGCTTCTTTTTCAGACCACTGCACCTTTCCAAGGCGTTAATCTCTGGGTCTGAACACTGCCATGCTGGATCTCTCCTCCTGGGTAAGTATTTTTAGAAAGTTTGAGCTCAGACCATGCAGTCACTCCTGAGCTATGCCAGGATGAAAAGAAAACAACCACTTCTGCCTGAACAATAGCAGCGTGGAACAAAAAGCCACTGTAAGAGGGGTTTTTCGCTATCACTCAAAACTAGCCAAGCTTTGAAAGACGAAACTCACTGTCAAAAAAAAAAAAAAAAGAAAGAAAAAGGTTCCTAGTGAACAAGCGAACAGAAAGGGCTTTGACAGTTTACTTAAAAAAGCCAGATTAAAGCAAAACGATGTTATATAAATACGTGGGCATGCTGGAGCTTGCATGCAGTACAACACTCCATCTTCCATCTCTGCCACTGCCCTGGCAAGACCCAGGGCTGGGTTTGTCACCTGCTGCTGCCTGTGGCACAGCCCCGCAGGTAAAGCCACCTGCAAGGAAAGGAGCCGTGCAGCCCATGCGCCTGCGGCTACGGGCCCTGCCGGGAAGTGTTATTGCCTCGTGATGGAGCCAGAAAGCAACCTCGGGGGATGCAGATCTTCTCCTTCCTGAGGCCA